TGGCTTCCAGACTTAATGATACCGTGACCCCAATTAAGTTAAGCAGTTGATGAAGCCAGTGGTCATATCAGGATTATTTGCCTGATAAATAACAGATCATAATCAGTACCAGGCCAAAGTGACCAGTGACATCCTACAATAAACTGCTTCACCTTAAAAAAAGGTGAAAAAAGGGGTGTTGTTTTTTTGTTTTTTTGTTTGTTTTTTTTTTTTTACCATTTCCTTTAGGAAAAAGAAAAAGGAAACCAAGGTAAAAACCCTGAGAGCTCGTGGCTGGTCCGCAATCATTTTGCTTCTGAGTCTTATCAAATCATCTCGGAGGCTTTGTTGACATTATCTGCTAACGACTGTAATCCATCTTTCCAAATGGAGAGAGGCAACCGGGCTGCCATACGGCACCCTCAGTCCAGAGATCTGAGGTCTGAGGTCAGCCCCCGACTGTCGCTTAGAGCACCCACCACCCGGCCAGCTGCCCGCGCAGGGCCTCTGGACCCGTTTCTAAAGGGTAATATTTACAGTGTTGGAGAGCTGGGCGCTGCGGAGCTTAATGGGATTCTTAATAAAGGCAGCTTTCATTAAGAGAGGGAGCATAGACAAGGTGCCCTTGCTTTTGAGGAAAGGACGACCCAGCACAAGACGGATGCTCCTTCTCAGTTTGGAAATCATGTGGGTCAAGTGCCTTGTCATGCATTAACAGCCTTTTTAAGTTCCTGGCAGATTGAGAGGAACGGCTTAGATAAATGAAGGCAGAGGAATCACGCGATCTGTCTTGGTAGCATAAACGCTGAGACACAGCAGCTGCATTTAAACAGAGCAATTTGCTAAATGAGTGGTTGGCTACTTTCCAGATGGCCAATGTGACACAGGGCTCGGATGAATCCTTTATTCAATCATGCATCTGTCTAGACTGAAGCAGGAAAGGCCAGGTTATCGCCCCTGCACCAGCCGTCCGGAGCCGCAGCCCCGGCAGCTCAGAACCCCCACAGAAACCCCGCTCGGCGTGGCTGGGGAGGCAGCTTGGCCGGAGACCAGCTGGGGAGGACGGGGCAGCCCGGTGTGCCGAAGCCTCAGGAAAAGCCAGCTTCTCGGCTGAAGGATGGCCCGCTCGGAACCTCACCTCGCCCGCCTGCCTACCGGGGATACGCAGCCAGGTGACCCTAATAGGACGAAGCGACAAAGCCTAGGAAGCAGAAATATTGGTCGCGTTCTGTGTGCGTTTCCTTTATGTGCACTTGAAAGTCCTTTCACACACGGTTGGTTCATCTGGATTCCTCTGGTTTGGTTGTAAAATTCCCAAGGCCGCCGGAAGAATATTCTTAGCTTGGCCCCGTGACCCCACTCTGCTTCCCTTTCTCTCTGCCTCTGACACTTAATTCAACCCTGACTCAAGCATTTGTTTAGAGACGATCTCAGGGATATTGGCTGGAGAGGCCAAGGGGTAGACCAGATGACCACTCAGTCCTGGGGCCTCTGGGTCTATGACATGCGTTGACCGACTGATGTAAAGCAGGTCGGGTAAAATGGGGCCACTTGATGGGCAGTTTGCCCAACTTTAATAGGCAAGCATCGAACTTCATTGGGCTGTAATGGGGACCTACAGGAAGGCAGCTCCACTAACCTATTTCTCTCTGGTAAGTTGTACCACAAGCCTATTTAATTTTTATTATTGCATTGAAAGTTTCCACAGTGAGGGTTTCATTTCCCTGTGTTCTTTAGCAAGCTATTCGAGTTTCCTGGCTAGAATGTTCTGACCAGTTAGTCAACAAGCCTCCCCACCCCGCCTCCCCTCCGCCCCAAGCCGCTGGGCCTCCACCCTCGACAGCAGCTTCCTCTTGCTTCTGACTCAGGAGGAAAAGTTTAACCTGGTGAATCACCAGCAGCGCTTTCTGTGACATTCTGAGGAAAACTACAGTTTGCCGAGGAAGCACTCCGAAACGTCTCACTTCCTGCTGTTTCTGAGCTACACGGGGCGGAAAAATTTGAGTCCTGCCCTGTGCCCATCCACCAAAGCTTTCTCACCAACATTTTTCTCTCTTGGAAGTTTCCGATCGTCAGGGCTGTGTTGACCCTACAAGTCAGCCTGAAATAAACGAGTCAAGTGAACAAGGCTGTCCTACAGGAGGGTCTAGCGTTATCCCTCTGCCCGTCTCACCCAGATGCTACTTCTTTTGTAACTATTTGAGCCCGGTTTCCTCATCTGTACCACAAAGTACAGCAAATGCTTTGTGGGACAATTTTTTTTTTTTCCATTCTCCAACCAACATCACTCTAGATGCGTAAGTGAGAAGCTAATCCATACACAAGGATGCACTTGGGCATGGTTGGCCTAGACTATACCAATGGAGGTCTTTATGGCAAGAGTCCGGGCTATGGAAAGGGAGTTATTCTAGTATCTCGAATATTCCAGTAGTAGGTATGCCAAAAGTTCAGAGCAATGAAGTCACTGAACTCAGAGATAATTACAAGGCTGTTCAAGTCCTTGCAATGAGGAAACAGCTCAGAAAGGGTATAAAAGTGGATTATTAATTTTAAGAAACAGGTTTCTTAATTTGCTGCATGCAAATAACATTGATGAATGTTATCAAATGATCCTTAAGCCATAAGCCTGGGCTAGATGCAACAATCGAAAGAAGTCCAAGGACAATCAAGAGAGACTTGGTAATATGACGTTAGCGAACCAAGCTCCCCTTGCCTTTGTCAGCAGATTGCAAAGGTGGCTTCCCTTATGCTGAGTGTGACTGGGTCCTCAACGCTAGGTCCTCAATAGGTGACCTCCAGGGGATGGTTGGGTGAAAAGTCAGGCCCGTGCTTCTGCCTTATAATAACCACCCTTCTCTCTCAGGTACAACTGATGGCTTTGCTGGATGACAGCACGAACTCTTTAATGCTACATTCACTGTAAGCCTTTTTTGTAGCCTAAAGAAAATTTGATTTTTTTGTTAAATGAACACCAAACGAGGACTCAAACATTTTTTGAAAACGTCGTGGCTTTTTAACATTCAAATATAGCTCCACGAAGAGTCCTCCACGACTGACATTTTATCTTATTAAAGTGCTGTTGGGGCGCCTGGGTGGCGCAGTCGGTTGGGCGTCCGACTTCAGCCAGGTCACGATCTCGCGGTCCGTGAGTTCGAGCCCCGCGTCGGGCTCTGGGCTGATGGCTCGGAGCCTGGAGCCTGTTTCCGATTCTGTGTCTCCCTCTCTCTCTGCCCCTCCCCTGTTCATGCTCTGTCTCTCTCTGTCCCAAAAATAAATAAACGTTAAAGTGCTGTTAATTAAGACCCTGAGCCACTAGCAGCAGCAACAACGACGAAATCAACAGACTCCGGCAAACTCTTCCTGCCATAAAACGCAACTCTGATTTGCAGAGAAGCTCAAAGGACCGCAGCGAATTGGCTCATTCGCATCTAGTCCACTAGGGGGCAGTGAATGATCGAGTTTCCCGCCGGCGGGCTGCGCCGCGGGTTGGTTGCTATATATACACCTGAAGTGTGGCAGGCCTTTTACACAAAGTGAGCAGCGCCGCGGCAGTGACAGGTGTAGGGAAGCAGCCAGCTATTGCTACCAGCACAGACTGTCAGAAGGATGAAGTGAAATGAATCATTTGCATTTTTGCCAATGAACCTGCATTCTAATGAACAGGCAGTGTCGCCCGGATCGGCCCCGGCTTCGCCTTCCTGGCTTCTGCTGGACCGTCGCCACAGGCGCCGGGCTGGACCGCACCCAGGACTGCAGCAAGGAGACAGGCAGAGCCACGGAGCCCGATTTACCAGGCGCCTGGGGCTCCGGACCACAGGGGCACGACTGACCCCGCGGCCGGGGGTGGGGGTGGGGATGGGGGTGGGGTGCTTCCCTCTTGCACTCCGTCCCGGTGTCCGCGTCCCTTTGAGGAATGTCAGGCCCGGGAGAGGCCGTGCAGCATAAATCCAGGCACACCATTCCCCTCCTAGTCCGTGTGAATGGCGCCCCCTACAGGTGAGCAGCGCGCAGATCATTCCCCGCTCCCGCCACGTGGGGGCCTGTGGGCTGGAGGTCTCCGCACCAGGGCCCGGCTGCTCTCTCACCCGCTCCTCGTTTTTGAAAAAAACAGCATTAAAAGGCGTTAGGGGACAGTCGAGAGTAAGGCAACTCCTGGGCACAACGAGAAATTGGGAGCTCTTGGATTTCGGTGTCCGCGATGGTCCCATCTGCCTTCCTCTCTCCGGCTTGCTCGGTTCCGTTCAGGACCTAAAGCCCTGGTGGTGGTCCCCTGGCCCTTGCTAACACTTCTTCAGAAAGATCCTGGGATACTGGACCCTTCGACCTAGCTGTGTTTTACAGCACTCTGTCTCCTCTCCCACGGGAATCTGCGTTTAAACCTTATCTCTGATTGTCAAACAAAACACACAGAAGGTCATCCTCCCTCCGGGCCCCTGATTAGCAAGAGCCCCCGGTGCCCAACGGGAGGCAAACCAGATGTGCCACTGTCCCCCTGCGCTCCGACAGCGATGCTTTCAGAGCGACTACTCCATTCCAGGGCTGTTTCTTCACACCATTACCTGGAACATCCCTTCTGTTTTACACGAGAGTCAGTAAAGCATACCAGTTAAATGCACAGGCTTGGTTCACACTGAGTGGGTTCGAATCCCAGTCTGTCACCTCCCGGGAGCAGGTACGCTTGAAAGCTGCACCACCGCTTTGTGCCTCAGTTGCTCCATTCTCACAAACGGCAGCCGGAGCATGACCCTGCGGTCTGAACTGATCGGATCTGGTGCAAAGCCCTGAGGCCAACCCCAGGCATGTAAGCGAGCACTTCATATATGTTACCTCTTAGTATTTTATTTATTCGACATACGGCTGGGTCTCTTCGTCTGTTTTCCTCTTCATTTTGTCTCAGCTTCGAGACAGAGATGCTCCCACCCTCCTTTCCCCCACCCCTGGCTTCTCCCCGAGTGAAAGGCAGACGGTTTTCTGGCCTCCGATTAAGTGTCTCCTGCCCTCCTTCCACCCTCCACACCTACCTGATCGTCGCCGTAGAGAATCGGGCACTTGTCAGAGTCCTCGTAACTGAAGCAGAGAATGTAAAGAGAAAACATCTTCAGACACCAAGAACAACAAGCTCGGGGATGGGGGGGGGGGGGGGGAGGGTAGAATCTGACAAATGTCCATTATGTCATGCCCGTGTTCTATTTGTAGAACCGTCTTGGAAATAGGCACTTGGTGACTTCGCCTAGATCGGAAGTGATTTCAGATTCTCTTCATGTAATCGCCTGCTTCCACCATGCAGCTTCATAATTAAAATAAGAAACTTATTTATAAAGCCGGTGGCGGAGCTGAGCGAGGGCTGTGAGGAGGTGCTCCTCGGTGATGCTGACTCTAAACCATGTCGGCCAGCCTGGAAGGAGGGGCAGGGACCTCTCGGATGGGAGGGATCCCTCCTGTCAGGTGAGAGCTGGAGGGAGTGTGGGGGGACGACTGGCTCCCCAGTCCGAGTGCGTAAAGAGAGGCCAGACTCTTACGGGAATTGTGACAAGTCCCGCTTTGGGTAGATGGCTGGCTCCAAGGATTTGGGCGAGCGCTGGCAGGTGCCAGGACCGGCAGAGGGAAGTGACTGCCCGGTGGAGGAAGGCTTGAGCACAGGGGGCTTACGGCAGGAGGAGCGGGCGCGCGGCAGGGAGGAGGGATGAAGAGGCCGAGTAGGAGGAGGTGGTGAGGACGGAGGGCGGGACCTTTCCCCGTGACCCCTCGGATCTTCAGTGTTGTTGGCAAACATCACAAAATGCGTGGTGCGGTTGGGTTTCTTGTCCAAACCAGTGACGTGGCCGTGTGGCCGCAAGAGGTGGGCGCCCACCCGTATCTGGGAAACACCAACGTCCCCACTGCAAGGCTTGTTTGGCATGATGTGGTCACGTTAAATCTGGCGAACAGTTCATCAGTTTATATCGGGTTTATTTACTGTTCTTGTATTTCCAAAGGCAGGAAGGGACCTACTAGAGACCTTTCTCTCTGCGTCAGTACCAGAAATCTGCGCGTCTCGTGAACACCTTAATTGTTATCTGACAGATACTATGAAGCTGCCAATGGATGTTGTTTCCCCCTTTTTTCTGGCTTCTGGGAAGTTTAAAAAGAAATGTATTCTTCGGGGATATTGTGGAGGATATTTTCTTCACTGACTTTATCTTTCTATATGTGTTTTTTGTCTTAACCCCATTCACATATACGCATGTGTATTATCTTCTATTCTATACTCATTGCTAGGAGCGTTCCCAAATCCTCTTTTAGATAATGTGGTTATTAATACACAACACCAATGAGGGCATTTTTGTCTCTCCTGGAAGTTTTTAGTAAAAGAAATGGTCTTCGAGCTTTGAAGTCAGATCCGTTTTTTCATCTCTTCTCGACTGCTGTCTCTTGAGTCCTGCTTTTGCAAAAGACTTTTTTCACCCCGATTATTATTAAGATGTTCACTTATATTTTCCTCTACTACCCACCTCAAAAATATTTAGATCTTTATCTGGCATTTATTTTTATGTATACCGTGATACGAAGACTTAATTTTTTTCCCCTAAATATATAGCCAAGAGTTATTTGTTACATTGTTCTCCCACTAACTCGAAATGCTTGGTTTATCAAATACTACTTTCCGGGGGCGCCTGGGTGGCGCAGTCGGTTAAGCGTCCGACTTCAGCCAGGTCACGATCTCGCGGTCCGTGAGTTCGAGCCCCGCGTCGGGCTCTGGGCTGATGGCTCAGAGCCTGGAGCCTGTTTCCGATTCTGTGTCTCCCTCTCTCTCTGCCCCTCCCCCGTTCATGCTCTGTCTCTCTCTGTCCCAAAAATAAAAAAAATAAAAACGTTGAAAAAAAAAAAGAAAAACCAAATACTACTTTCCGTATAAACAGAGGTCTATTATCAATCTATTTGTCTCTTTACAACAGTATCTTATCTCTTTCATTTACTGTAACTTAATAGGATCCTTTAATATCAGATGGCTCAAGTCCCTCCCCCATCGTCCTTTTTCAACATTTCTTGGCCATTTTCCCATGTTTACTCTTCCAGATGAAATTCAGAATCAACCTCTTGAGCTCCAAAACAATCTCATAGAGATTTTGATTGGCATTCCATTGAATTTGACATTTAATTTGGAGAGAGGTGACATCTTCACAGTATTGAATTTTCCCATCCAGGAACATAGTCACTTCCCATTTATTTGGGCTTTCTTTCACGTTTTTAGAAAGGTTATCTCTCTATCTTCACATTTCTTGTTAAGGTTATTTCTGCAAATATTCAATTATGGACCAATTTTCGACTCAGGGAAGAAGTGACAAAGATAGTAAGGAGTCAAGTTCTCCTTGGCCAAGGGATTCCTGTTATGCAGCCATATTCACCTGCAGAGACTTGACGTACCTTTTCCTAGCAATCAGCCCACATACAACACTGAAAATACTAGAAACAGTTGGCGAGTTAAGTAAATTATAAAAAAAAGAAAGAAAGAAGGTCATACATATCCCTCAAGAAGACGAAGATCTGAGGCTCTCTACTAGGCTCTCAAAAAGACCTGTTTGGACCAAAAGAAAATTTCTCTCTACCTCACAGAAGATTTAAAGGGTAGAATTTAGCCTCCTTCCGTATTGTCATCCTCCCCAACACTGCTCTTTCCGTAATCCTTGGGAGATAATATCAATCATAAATCATCCATCCAGTCTACTGATTTCTCATTTCCTTACAACGGTTCTGTTTTCTACTGTGCTGCAGCCACTCACTGGCACGGTCATACCCTTCCTTGATTTAGGCATTCGTAATAACTGCGACCCTCCAGAATCACAGCATCAAACATGCTACCTCCAGTCTTTTCAGCCTGTTCACACAGGCTAACTCCAGGACTTCCGGTCCGTCGATCCTAACACATTTTCACCGTCCACTGTCCACGGACCCTTTCGTGCCTCATTTTCCGTCACGTGTGGCTTAGATTCCGTGGTCAGCCACAACCGCTTCCTCACGTGGGTGCCCTCAACTTTCTCTTTTATTGTTCTTTTTTGGCACAAGCCCACCCCTGATCCAGTTTGACTTGCCCCCCACCCCGTGCATGAAAATGTGGCTGGAGACAAACCACACAACTGTGCTGAGCGGGCTGGCTTCGGCTTCATGACCACAAACCACAAATAAGTTCTCAGAGCTTCCTGGCAGCCATCCTTCATCTCCCACTCTCCAGGACCATTTCCCTACCTCCTCCTTTGTCTGAAAATCTCCGACACCTCCTCCCAATTCCCATTCTCAGATCACGATCTTGCTTTCTAAGTCACTGAGAAAATGGAACCCCTTACAAGAGGCCTCTACCGGATCCCATCACATACGCACACGTTCACCTGCACCCCGACCCACCCCCTCGGCCTTCTCTTGGGTCCCGCTGATGAATTCCGGCTCCTCCCTGAAGTCAGCCCCTCACGTGCGCCCTGGACCCCATCCTTTCTTGCCCACCCAAGGCTGTCACTCAGCATTTCCCCTCTTTCTCTCCTGCTTTATCCATGTTCTGGATCATTCCCATCAGCACACGGACATGTTCTTATTTCTCTCATTGGGGGAAATTATAAAAAAAAATTGTCTTGATCCCCTGGCGCCTCCAACTATCACCCCAGTTTTTTGCTTCCCCTTACAGAAGAGTTACTTGAGACAGGGGTTCATACTGCTGCCTCAGTTTCTCTTCCAGTTCCCATGCGAAGGCATTCCCATCAGGCTTTCATCCCACCTCACACAAAACTGCAGTGACCTCCGGTGGAAATTCGGGGTCCTCATGTTTCCAGCAGCTGCACTTGACAGTGGTCACCCCGGCTTTGAGTGCCCCAGACTCAGGCCCGGCCACCTGCTTGTGTGCCTGCGGCAAACACGCTTATCAGCGTCAGGGCTTTACCCCCACCTCTTCAGGCTGATGATCCCGACTCCGCCCAACGTGCAGGCATGTGACCACCCTGAATTTCTGATGCCCTTATCTGATCTTTTTTTCTTCACAGCACTTACCACTTGGGTGTGTCCTACGTAATCAGATATTGGCTGTTTATTGTCTCAAAGCCAGGCTCCGCCAGGGCGAGGGTTCTGGCCCGAGCAGCGTTGGGCCCATAATGAGCTACACCGATCTTTGTGGTTAAGGCCTTCATATACTTCCAGGCATGTCCCACCACACAGCCGCCGGCCTGGCCTGGAAACTTCGTGGCTCGTGGCTGTTCTCCCTTCAAGTCCTTCCTCCACTGGCGCCTGGTGAGCTCTGCCCTTCCAGCCCCTTCTGTGCTACACTTCATCTCTTCAGTCCTTATTCGCTAACATACTGCCCACTGATTTTGCATATTGCCACCTCTTCCACTAGAATGGAAGTTCCTTGAGAACATACCTTTCACCCGTCTCTTTCACTCCCCTATCCCCAGCACCCGAACAGTGCCTGGCATATGTCTTTGGAAGTACTTACTTAGAGAGCATCCTTTATAAAGTTCTCTGTCACGAGTATGGACGGGAGGACAGTCCGGCACTAGCCGGGTGCACTAGGTCTGGCTTGCACACCCCCCTGATTGCTCGGTGGCCCTCGTTCACCTTTGGCTGCTTGGCCTCCAAGCCCCATGCCGTGACCAGCCTCGGCCAATACCACAGCCTGTCCTGGAGGCCACAGGGACGCCCTTTCTCAGTCCCAGGTTTCCCGTGGCGTGTGGCCTCTCTGCTTTCTGAGCCTCAGCCAAACTCAGAGGCCACCTCGCCCACTCTGGGATTTGTCTTCCAGTTGAATGCATGATGATGTCAAACACAGTGTCTGTGATAGTCTAGGCAGTCCCCTGAACCCACTCATTCCTTCATTCTTCAAATATAAATATATATTAAATATACGCCACATTCTCAGCCCTGTTCTCGGCCAGTGAGATATAATAGATAAAGTTCTTGCCATTAAGATGCTCGAATTCTGATAAGGAGACAGATAATAAATAAATACAGCCTATGGCAGGTAATGATAATTGCCATGAAGATAAATAAAGCAGGGTAAGGACAATAAGGGATTCTGGGTCTGGGGGTGGGGTGATGTGGAGAGTGCATTTGCATGTAGGGTGATCAGAGAGGCCTCTCCTAGTGGGTGACACTGGACTGAGCCACACAGATTTCAGGAGGGAAGGATGCCCCTGGAGGAGATAATGGAGAATGCAAAGGCCCTGAGGCACACACCCAAAGTTGCGGACTGAGATTCACACTTGCTAGTTATCCCAAGTACATTAAAATAAAGGAAACATACTGTGGGTGCGTCCCTGGCTTCTCCTTCACAAATCTTTGCCCCTGAATATTGGCCTATTGTTCTGACAACAATAAGACCGTTGGAAAAAAAAAAAAAAAAAAAAGGAAAGAGTTGCCTGGAGATCTCTGGTCTGCTGTGGCTCACTCTGGAAGGAGCCCCGGGGCCTGCCTCGAGGAATCAAATCGCTGACTTCTCTAAGAGAGCTAGACTCCAGCGGTATTTCTGCCAAAAAAAAAAAAAAAAAATCCCAGAAACACATCCATCCTGAGTATCAGAGCCCAGAAATTAATCATCTCACTCCGCAGCTCTGGCAAGAGACCAGATTTCCTGGAATTCAAGGCATCTGAAGCATTTCATTGTGGCAGTAACAGCAGCAGCCACGGGTGATAACAATCTAGAAGGATTGAGTTTTTCAAAGAGGCTATCTTTGGTTTCTTTTTAAGATGCAAAGAGGTCCAATTTAAGACTGATAATTTCCTTCCTGCTTCAGAAATTTCTCTGGCTAATCGGTGGGTGTATTTTAGTCTCCGTAAAAGAAACCTCTCCTTTGGGAGTTAGGGGTAGCAGAGAAGAGTGGTAGCCAACGGGCTTCGGCTGAAAGATTCACGAGAGCATTTTTGTCACATCTAATAACCTGCAGTTTTCAGACAGTGCTTAGGACGGGGCCCCAGAGCTGGGGAAACTCAGCATATGCCCCTGGAAAGAACAGGGGAGCCAGGAAATTAGAAGTACCCCGCAGCGTTTGGATTGGCTCCAGGTTTTGTTTCTTTGAACTTCCTAAATTGCCAAGTATTATGTATGATAAGTGAGTCCATGTCTGACAAGTCTTGGTATTCTAAATCCTAATGATCTTACCAACTCCATACATTTTTCTGTCTGGAATACATAAAGCCTTAGACGCCAATCCAGTTTTCCGCTTTAAAATGGTGAGAATCATCAGCTCCCAGTTATGAAAGGTGTTCCGGGAGACTGGAACCGATGACAGCTGTCCACAAGGGGCCAAGCCGTGCCTTCCTTTAGGTGGCAAAGTAGGTCTCTAGTTATGATGTTAGTTTCTTCTCTAGACATCAGCCTTCCAGAAATGGAGTGATTAGATCCGCAGCGCTCCCACTTCATAACCCAGCTAAGGGGAGCAGGCAGGTCATTTTTATCTAGCACGTACTTGACCGGAAGCAAACGGAGTGTGTTAAGGCGTTGAAGGGTAGCTGGGATTCTGTCACTTCTGTGAGAAGTTTCACCCGGAGCATCGTGGAGACTGCTGTTATGGGATGAACCATGTCTTGCGAGAGCCGTCTTGGATGAAAACCAGAAAGCGATAGTGATGTTCATCACGTTCATACCTCGAGGAAGCTGGAGCGAGTTCAGATCACATGGCAAGTGTCCGTGTCCCAAAAGGCCTTGACCATTGAGATTTGTTCAAGACCGAGCAGAGCAGAGCCCAATCAAATCCGCCCAGAGCTCGTGGGCCAACATGCAAAGAGGAGAGACTGCAGGCAGTGGGCCAATTAACTAGAACATGTGAGAAACTGTGAGGACTCACTCGGGGCAGTGACTGCGGAAATGAGAGGAGAGAAGGGACAAGAACCGGTCGGCGACTGGAAGTGGAAGGTGAGGAAGAGAAAAAGCAACCACAGGGAGCTCCGAGGTTCTCAATTTGAATGACGAAGGCTGAAATCAAGACAGGAAAACACTGCAGAATTTGAAGGCAGCGCAGTTGTAATGTCGCCGCGTCAAGTTCGAAAGGCCCGTAGCTTATCCACAAGGAAATGAATGTAGCATTTAGAGAGCAGGTGTCGAGAAGTAGATTTTAAATCACGGCCGAACCCACTGAAGAAAAGACAATACTTAATGAGGGAATGTGGTATAAGGAGAAGGCCGAGGGTAGCCCTTGAGGGGCTCTCAGCCTGGGCGGGGGGGCAGTGGTGAGGAGGAAGAAGGAGAGGGAGGAGCGGTGAGGGTAGGCGAACCAGAGACCTAGAGCACTATAGCACAAGCCAAGGGAGGAGAAATGGCATACATCACAGAGTTGGATACAGTGAAGACTCCAAAGAGGGAAAAGATCTGCCTCTTGGGAGGTCATTGCATGGAGACCAGTGAGAAATAGTCACGGGAAGCCTGGCAGCGATGGTCTCATGGGCACGTAGCAGAGGACCAGGGACAGGATGCTGTGAGTCCTTGAATATGCAGAGCGAGGGGGCACGTCTCACTCCAGACCTTTGCTTCACTCTTCCATGGTCTGCGCTGCTGTCTCCCAGGTATCCCCCTGGCTTCCTTGGCTCACTCCCTCGCTTCCTCTGGGTCTCAGTTTGAAGGTCCCCTTCTCGTTGAAGCCGCTTCTGACCACCTTACCCGATGCTGCAACTGACAGCCCCCTCCATTCCCATCGATACACACACATATATCCTGGGCGTTACCTTTTCTTTGTCCATAGGACTTATCACCTTCTAACAATACCGTATCACTTGCTTATTTACAGTATTTATTTTTTATTGTCAATCGTCCCCCCCCACCACCACCACCACTCGAATGGAAACATCTTTTAAGGGCAGAAAATCTTACTTATTTTGTACACTGATGGGTTCCCTGAACCCAGAATAGCGTCTGGCCTACAGACACTACTGCTTAAATTTTCACTGTAAGGTAAGAAACAGGTCACGAGCGAAGGTGAGGATAAGGGAGGGATTGATGGGGATTTGAGGAGGAAGGAGAAAGAATGAAATTATAGGCTTGGAACAAGGTTGGAATGAGTGTGCCTGGGGCTTGTAGATGCCTGCCTGGGGTCTCAAGGGACCACTTGAGCTTCAGAGTCATGAATTGAGAGTGAGCTCCGCTGGTGTGGCGTCGTGTTTTTCTTCAGCTGTACTCACCCCTCCCTCCTTCCATTCCTTTAACCTTCATTCCTTACTCATCATTTCACTTCTGTAAGGACCGCTGCATACGACAGGCTTAACAAATGTTTGCTCTTTGGAGCTGAGGTCTTCAGTCCTTCAGGAAAGGACTTAGAGGAAAACCCGACGGGCAAAGGCAGCGGATCTGAGATTCCCAAGTGGGCTCAGAGGTCAAGCAGGCGGCGCTTTTGAGATCCTTTCCTCCGTGCCTCTCCTTTATCCTGTCCTTTATGGCGACAGATGTGATGTTGGAGAGGGGGTGAGGAGGAAAGAATGGAAGGGACCTTAATGATTATCTCCCCCAAACTGAGCAAAACCAAATGCCTGTGTTAGTCCCCGAGTGGTGGCGAAAGGCTCCATCAGCTACCCAGACTTGGAGTGGCCTCTTCTCAGGGGCCCTCGGGCCCACACCTCCAACCAGTAACAAGCCCAGTTTACGTGGCCTTCTGCAAAACTCGAGTCGTTTTCTTCTCCATCTCATCTGTTGGTTACCTTCGGCATTTGTCATATGGATGATAATAATAATTCCGACTACTTATTGAGTACTTATTATATGCCAGTCACCAGTTCAAGGGCTTTATATTTATTCATTGATTGAATCCTCAGAAGAAACCCATTTTACAGACGATGAACTTGAGGCACCTGAATTTCTGCAATACTCTATCAGTCTCTCTGAACCCAGTCTAATCCATCCTTCGTTTCTCTACCAGAGTGAGTCTCCTTCAACATCTATTTAAAATATGCATTGCGAGGCCCCTGGGTGGTTCAGTCGGTTAAGTGTCCGACTTCGGCTCAGGTTGTGATCGCTCGGTTCGTGAGTTCAAGCCCCGTGTCCGGCTCTGTGCTGACAGCTCAGAGCCTGGGGGCTGCTTCAGATTCTGTGTCTCCCTCTCTCTCTTCCTGTCCCCCACTTGCACTCTGTCTCTGTCTCTTTCTCTCTCTCTCTCTCAAAAATAAACAAAATTAATTAAATAAATAAATAAATAGTAAAATAAATATGCACTGAAGCGATGTCAACAAAATGGTGGCGTACAAAGCCCTGGGCCCTCCTTCCCCCCAACAGACACACTAGTTCAGCAACAACCCACAGACAGATTTCCTTTGTGAGAAATCCAGAAACTAACTGAAAGTCTCTGGCACCCTGGATGAGTATGAAAGCAGGCTCACTGAAGCCGGTAGGGAGGCTTAAAACATCTCACAAGAAATCTCTGCCTGTGGCTCAACACCATATGACCAGGAAGAGCTGGTCCCCCTTGTTCCCAGCTTCATCCAGGGGAGGAAAGGGTTGGTTTGTGTGTCCAGCATCCCAACTTTTCAACTCTCAGCTTCCCTCTACAAAATGAAAAACTCAGAATCCCTGGCTAAGCTGATTAATGGGGATCTTCTCTTGTGAAGGCAGTCTGTAAAGGTTGGAAAAGATGCCTGCTTTGTCTAACGAGCAGACACCAACCCAAAAATCCAAGGAAAATAAAGAATCAGTCAAATATGTTCCAAACAAAGGAACAAGATACATGTCCGGAAACCAACCCTAATAAAGTGGAATTATATGATTTACCTGATAGGGAATTCAAAATAACTGTCATAAAGATGCTCATCGAGGTCAAGAGACCAATGTGAGAATCTCAAAAAAGAGACAGAAGATATATATTTTTTTAAATACCTAGGAGAAATCATGGAGCTGAAGAGAACCAAACTGACCTGAAAAATTTACTAGTGGTGTTCAAAAACAGACTAGCTCAGGCCGAAGAAAAGATCAGGAAACTCAAAGACAGGTCATTGGAAATAATTCAGTCAGAGGAGCAAAAATAAAAAAGAATGAAGAAAACTTAAGGGACTCATGAGATGCCATCAAGTGGGCCAATATACAAATTATAGGCGTTCCAGAAAGAGAAGACAGACAAAGGAAGAAAGTTCATTTAAAGAATTAATGGCTGGAGCCACTGGTTGGCTCAGTTGGTTAAGTGTCTGACTTTGGCTCCATCATGACCTCATGGTTCATGAGTTGGAGTTCTGTGCTGACAGCTCAAAGCCTGGAGCCTGCTCTGGATCTGTGTGTCCCTCTCTCTCAGCCCCTCCCCTGCTCACTCTCTGTCTCTTTCTCTTTCAAAAATAAATAAATAAATAAATAAACATTAAAAATTTTTTGTTTGTTTGTTTGTTTTTTAAGGAACAATGGCTAAATACTTTTCAAATCTGGAGAAGTGAATGTACATCCAGATCCCGGAAATGGAAATTTGTTGATAAAGGTAAATATGTAGACAAATGCAGAATGCTGAGTTACTATAATAGTGTGACTATATCACTTTTCATTCTATCATAAAAGTAAAGGACAAAAGTATTCTAAATAACTATAACTAAACTGCATTAAGTTAAACAACATGAATAAAAATAAACTGTGACAACAATAACATAACGTGTGTTTGTGGGACTGTGTTAAAGTGTAGAGTTTTTGTGTGTAATTGAACTTGAGTTGTTACCTGCTAAAAAGTAACTGTTATCATTATAAGATATTTTATGTAAGCCCCATGGTAACCACACATAAAAATTACCTATTGAAGTTACACAAAAGAAAAATAGAAAAGAATCAAGGGATATCAATACTAAAAAAGCAACAAAACACAAAGGAAGACAGCAAGAGAAGAAAAGACAGACAAGACTAACAAAACAATAAAATGGCAATAGTAAATCCCTCCTATCAATAATTACTTTAAATTTTAGTGGATTAAACTCCCCCATCAATGAATAAAAAAATGATATGCTGTCTACTAGAAACTCACTGTAGATTTAAGGACACACATGGGCTTAAATGAAAGAATAGAAAAAGATATTCTGTGCAAATGGCCAACAAACGAGAGCAGGGATGGCCATACTTGTATTAAAAAAGTATCCAGTAGGTCAAAAACTGTCACAAGAGACAAAGAAAGATATTATATAATGATAAAAGGGTCAATCCACTAGGGAGATATTTGCAATTATAAGTTTATAGGTCCCCAACATTAAAGCACCTAAATGTATAAAACAAATATTGACGGAATCGAAGGGAGAAATAGACAAAAATACAATTATAGTAAAAAAGTCAATACTTTCCTTTCAATAATGGATAGAATATTCAAACAGAAGATCAATAAAGACACATAGGACTTGAATTACACTGCAGACTAAGTGGGCCCAACAGACATATACAGAACATCTAACACAAGAGCAGCAAAATACATATTCTTAAGCACACACAGATCTTTCTCCAGGATAGATCACATGTTATGTCACAGAACAAGTCTTAACAACTTACGAAGATTGAAATCATACAAAATATTTTTTTTCTGAACACAGTAGAATGAAAGTAGAAATCAATAGCAGAAGGAAAATTGGGAAATACGCAAATATTTGGAAAATAAGCAACACATTCTTGAAAACCCATTTGGTAAAAAAACAAAAAAAATTAGAAAATAAAATTAGAAAATACCTCAAGACAAATGAAAATGAAAACACAACATACCAAAACTTATAGGATGCAGTGAAAGCAGTCCTAAAAAGGACGTTCATACTGACAAATATATACATTAAAAAAAGAAAGATCTCAAATCGCCAACTTAACCTGATACTTTAAGCAGCTAAAAAAAAGAAGGACGAACAAAGTGCAAAGTTAGCAGAAGGAAGGAAATGAGACGTATTAGAATAGAAATAAACCAAACCAAACAACACCAAGAGCTAGTGTTTCAAAAATATTAACAAAATTTACAAGCCTTTAGCTAGATTAACCAAGAAAAAAGAGAAAGCACTCAAATAAATAACATTAGAAATGAAAGAAGGGACATGACAATCGATGAACTAGAAATGAAAAGGATCATAAAAGACTATGATGAACAAATACATGCCAAAAAACCTGGATAACCTAGGGAAAAAAAAAAAAATGAACAAATTCCTACAAACACAAAACCTACCAGGACTAAAATCATGGATGAATAGAACATCAGACTTATAACTAGTATGGAGGTTGAATCAGTAATCAAAAACCTCCCATAAAGAAAAGTCCAGGACCAGATAACTTCAAAGGTTCAAAGGTGAATACTACCAAACCCCAAACACCAAACAAACAAACAAAAAAAAAAAGAAAGAAAGAGAAAGAAAGAAAGAAAGAAAGAAAGAAAGAAAGAAAGATTTACCACTCTTTCTACAGGGCCAGCATTACGCTGATATCACAGGCAGCCAGATAATACCAGAAAAGAAAAATTACAGGGTATTATCCCTGATGAATGTAGACACAAAAATCCTCAACAAAATACTAGCAAACCAAATCCAACAGCACAGTGAAAGGATCATCCACCATGACCAAGTGAGATTCATCCCTGGGATGGAGTGATGGTTTAACATACAGAAATCAATTAATGTGATAGGCCACATTAACAGAATAAAGGATAAAAATTACACGATTGTCTCAATACATGCAGAAGAGGCATTTGACAAAATTCAACACCCTTTCGTGTTAAGAACTCTGAACAAACTATAAATAGAAAGTACTTCAGTGTAACAAAGGTCGTATTTGAAGAACCCGATGCTAACACATCATACTCACAATGAAAAACTCAATAGCTTTCCTCTAAGATCAGCAACAAGGCAAGGGTGCCTGCTTTTGCCACTTCTATTCAACACAGTATTGGAAGTCCTGCCCAGAGCAATTAGGCAATAAAAATAAGAAGGAAAGAAGAAAGAAAGAAAGAAAGAAAGAAAGAAAGAAAGAAAGAAAGAAAAGACATCCAAATCAGAGAAGAATTAAAATTGTTCCTGTTTGCAGACATTATGATCTTACATATAGTAAGCCCTATAAACTCCATTAAAGAAGAAAGTCAGAAATAATAACCAAATGCAGTAAAGTTGTAGGATACAAAATCAATGTGCAGAAATCAGCTGTGTTTCTATACACTAAAAATGAACTATCTGAAAAGGAAATTAGGAAAACAATCTCATTTAAAAATAACACCAAAAAGAATAAAATACTTAGGAATAAGATTAAATAAGGAGGTGAAAGATTGACATACTGAAAACTAATGCATTGATGAAAGAAACTGAACAAGACACAAACAAATGGAAAGATATCTGTGTGCATGGATTAGAAGGCTTAACACCCGGGGCGCCTGGGTGGCTCAGTCGGTTAAGCGTCCGACTTCAGCTCAGGTCATGATCTTGCGGTCTGTGAGTTCAAGCCCCGCGTCGGGCTCTGTGCTGACAGCTCAGAGCCTGGAGCCTGTTTCAGATTCTGTGTCTCCCTCTCTCTCTGCCCCTCCCCCATTCATGCTCTGTCTCTCTCTGTCCCAAAAATGAATAAACGTTAAAAAAAAAAAATTAAAAAAAAAGAAGGCTTAACACCCAAAGCCATCTACAGATTCAATGTAATCCCTATCAAAATCCCAATGTCAATTTTACAGAAATAGAAAAAACAATTTAAAACTTCATATGGAATCACAAATTACCAAATAAATCTCAATAAAGAAGAACAAAGCTGGAGACATCACTCTTCTTAATTTTAAACTATATCACAAAGCTGTAATAATCAAAACAGTATGGTACTGGCATGAAGAGAGATGTCTTCAGACGGCATGAAGACCAATGGAACAGAATAGAGAGCCCAGAAATGAGTCCACACATATATGGTCAACTGTTCTTCAAAAGAGGGCACCTGGGTGGCTCAGTCAGTTAAGCATCTGACTTTGGCTCAGGTCATGATCTCACGGTCCATGAGTTCAAGTCCCGCATTGGGTGATCTCAAGCCCCACTTTGGGTGAGCATGAGCCCTACTTCGAGAAACAAAACAAAACAAACATGGGCACCACTTCAGGTGAGCCTCACTTCTCTCTCTCTCTCTCTCTCTCTCTGTCTCTGTCTGTTTCTCTCTGTCTCTCTCTCTTTCCCTATCTCCCTCTCTTTGCCCCTCGTGGGATTCTCCCTCTCTCTGCTCCTCACTCACTTGTGTTCTCTCTCTCTCTCTCTCTCTCTCTCTCTCTCTCTTTCTCTCTCTTAAAACAAGCAAACAAAAACAGAATATCAAGACTATACAATAGGGGAAAGGTAATCCATTCATTGGTGCTGGTAAAACTGGATATCCACATGCAAAAGAATTAAACTGAACCCCTATTTTACATCATACACAAATCCACCCAAAATAGATTAAAGACTTACATAAGACCTGAAACTATAAATCTCCTAGAAGAAAACATAGAAGAAAATCTTCATGACCTTGATCTTAGCAAAGATTTCATGGATGTGATACCAAAATGAAAGGCAAGAAAAGCTTTATGCTAAGATAAATCAGCTAGGCACAGAGAGACACTGCATGATCCCACTTATATGACGCATCTAAAGTAGTCAAATTCACAGAATCAGAGAAAGGAATGGTGGTTGCCAGGAGTTAGGGAGGGGGGAAATGGGGAGTTACTAGTCAATGGCTATAGCGTTTCACTTAAGCAAGATGAATAGAGCCCTAGAGATCTTGCTGTGTAACATTGCACCTATAATCACCTTAAAAAATTTGTTAAGAGGGTAGATTTCATGTTAAGTGTTCTTATAACAATAAAATAAAATAAAATAAAATAAAATAAAATAAAATAAAATATATAAATAATCCAAGCCTTCTAAAAAGGACACCCAAATTATCCCCAAAGAGTATTTCTAATCAGTCAAACGATGTTGTCATTAAATAAAAAGTCAGAAATATATTTGAGGTAATATATTTCTTGCAGCCAAATCTATAATCTACCAAAATTCTGTTTTGTGAGCTTCATGTGTATTTCATTTATTTACTATTTATTTATTTATTTATTTATTTATTTATTTTAAAATACTTAATCATTTTTGAGAAAGAGAGCATGAGCTGGGGGAGGGGCAGAGAGAGAGGGGGGGCAGAGGATCCAAAGTGGGCTCTGTGAGCTGACATCAGTGAGCCCAACATGTAACTGGAACTCATGAACCATGAGGTCATGACATGGGCCTAAGTTGGACACTCAGCCAACTGAGCCACCCAAGCACCCTGCTTCATGTGTATTTTATAGAACAAGTTGAATTAGAAGAAATTGCCATTATTTGACCATGTAGGACCTACACAAATGAAAATACATTGCTGGCTGTAGTATACAATATAATGTTCTATTTCCTTTTCTAAGACTGAATACAAGGAGGCTATGAAATATTTATTAAGATAAAATCCACACAGAATTGATGATGCAAGACAAAGTGCTTAGCAGGGCAGAGATGA